AGCCGCACTTAAGCATGCCAGGCAGCACACCCTGGTTCATTTAAAACCGAGGACCTGGCAAAAAGACCCACTATCATAGCTATCAAATATATACAAGCCACTGTAGCCCTAATCCCCAATTTCCATCACCATCACTTGACCAGCAACCGCTCATACGCTCCCCGTACCGGCTTGACAGTCGGCCCGCTTGGTTACTCCCCTCACCTCATCGCAGACTCATGAAGCCTCCCTCGCTGCCTTCGCTAAGAACCACCTTTTTGTCTCCCTCCTCGCCCAACTACCTGGCCAAGCGTCGCTTCCTCCCCATTCGACCACCCTGCCAAAAGCACCGCCTCCTCGGCTCCTCCTTGTTTGGCCACCCCCATCCCACGCCGGCAACATACTCCAGGTTGTGGGCTGCCCAGCTTGTTGGACGTGTCATGCCAATCAAGCTAGCCTAGCATGAAAATAGACTTGGCGTGTTCACTACTATGATAAACTTAACCGAGGCGGGCAACACGTCCGCCTCGGTTCAAAGGTCACCGTAAATCAAATTTTACCGAAGCGGTTCAAATGCGCGCCTTGGTTAATCAAATAAAAAACAAAAAAAAATAAAAAAAACACATGGACAAGCCCAGGGAGCCCATCCACGCCGCTCGCCTCAGCCAGATCCGGGCACCGGGAGCGCCGCCGGGGAGAAGGGTGCTGGATCCGCCGCCGGGGAGGAGGTGCGGGCCAGATCCACCGTCAGGGAGGACGAGGGGGGCGGATCCGCCGTCGGAGAGCGCGCCGCCGGGCGAGGCGACCCGCGCTCACCTCTGTGGTGGGAGGGAGATAGAGGAGCAGCGGCGCTGTGGTGGGAGGGAGAGGGAGGAGGGGTGCCGCCATGGTGGGAGCGAGGAGGGGCGCCGACGTGGTTGGAGGGAGAGGAGGAGTGCCAGTGTGTGTGTGAGAGAGAGAGGAGTGAGAGGGGTCGGTGTGGGGAGGGGCGCCGTGATCGGCGCGGCTAATGGGCTGAGGGAGAGGGAGGAGAGGATGAGAGTGAGAATGCGTGAGTGAAACCCTAAAATCCCGTATATATACTCTGAGCGATATATCGAGCTGAGATGGGTTTTGTAAATCAGAGTGGGGCTTGGCTACATTAACAGAGGCGGCCTTTTTAAGGGGCCCGCCTCCGAAAATAGAGACATTTTTAAAGGCGGGCCTTCCGTAAATCGATTTTGCGAGACGGTTAATTGTGACAACGCGGTTAATAAAAATGACCGCCATACTAAATCGATTTTTGCGAGGCGGTTAATTGCGGCCGCGAAGCTCCAGCGAAACCCTAGCTCGCCACGGCGAGGCAGTGGCGGCGGCAAAGGCGAGGCCGAGGCCGAGGAGGGGTGCCGGCAAGGGAAGAAGAAGACGGTCGGGACGGGGGAAGAAGATGACTAAAGCTTTGCAAAATATAATGCGTCGGTGTGGGAGACAGACCCTTTTGGGAAATGATGCAAATTCGGTTAGAACGAACATTATTGGAGCTCTTTAAAAAAACTTGAAACTCCGTGCATCTATAATTCTATATATATACTTCATACTACTATCATATGCATCATCAGTGCAAAAAAAGAAAGAAAAAGAAAAATTGAAGCTGTTCAAACTCGTTCTGCTTTAATAATAATTCACATAAAAATAATGACAAATCTCGAGTGTTAAGATATCGAGAGAGAACGTCGAGAAGGAAACAAGAATCGGCTGTGCTGTGCTCCTGTTCGTGGCTGCATACGTCATGCCGGCGGCAGCTTGGCGTCAGAAAGCATAGGACGACGACGACTCGACACTTTCAGTTTCAGACATTCAGTACGCTATATACATATATAGATAGATAGATTATACTAGGCGAAATAATTTACTAGCTAGTGAGGCCCGCCTACAAAAGAAGGTTAGGTTCCACATCAGCTAAGCTATCTTCATAAACATCCATCGCACTTCAGTTCCGTTAGCTCGTCCGACACGATCATGAGAGTCAAATCCTGCCAACTATACGATATATGTCTATAAATATATGTACATACTGTTTCAGCCAAGTTTCGATCACATGTCGTTGATGGTTCGTACCTACTTCCGTCCCCAAAAAAATGTTACTGTAGGGGTTCGTACTAAAAAAATTGACTAGATTTGTAAAAAAAAAATAGCAACATTTGTACTTAAAAATAAGTCTATTATAAAAATATATTCAATGATTTATCTAATGATATTAATTATATATCATAAATGTTAATATTTTTTCTTATATATATTTGGTTAAAGTTTAAAATGTCTAACTTGTCACAACATGAGAATGACATTCTTTAAAAGACGAAGGGAGTATATATCTCTCGCTCTCGTACAAAAAGCAACATAATTCTCCGTTCATTTGAAAATATATTTTATGATATGTTTCTGACGTTTACGACTCTAAATAGTTATACTATGAAAATATTCTATTAATAAATAAATATAATAATAATAATAACTTTTTTGGTATTATAGATAATATCAGTGAAATGTTGTTTACATTTCTATGACGGGAGGAGTATATACTACGTGTCAGTACCTGTGATACATAGGGGCCGTTCGGATGGTACGAAGTTCAGCCAGAATTTACCCTTCTCGGCAGAAAAACACTGTTCACCTTCTCACAGATTCCTTCAGATTCATCCAGATTTCTTTAGAGTCCTCCCAACGAACAGGGTCATGGACGTACACATTGCCGACTCTCCCAAGGACCAAGGAGTATAATTCACAACCTACCAGCCAGGTACATATGAATTGGTATTCTACGGGCGCCGGTTTTTTCTTTTTTCTTTTTCCTAGGCGATGAACAACGGCCATTGGATCCTAATCCAACTCAGTGTTACTTCTTCCATGCAGCCCGCACTCCCGACGCAGCCCACACTCCTGATGACCACTCCCTCGCCTACCACCGACCACCTCCCATTCCCAACGGCGTCCCTGCGCCGTGCCTGCCTCCGCTGCCCACTGCCCACTGCCGTACTAACCTGGCATTGTCGGACCATTCCCATAGCTCCCGTCCCCTCCCTTGGCCAACGGTCGTCCTCCGCCGCCAGTGGCCCACGGCAGTCCCGCTGCCTCGCCACTCTGCGGGGCACCGGCGCCCTCGTTTCCCCCCTCTGGCCGACCTACTTCCCTGAAGGCCCCTTCACTACCGGACTCAGTGGCTTTGCCGAGTGCTAGGGGCACTTGGCAAAGTCCAATTTGCACTCGGCAAAGGCTTTGCCGAGTGCTGCACTGGGCAAAGACCACTCGGCAAAAAATGCGTCGGCAAAGATGTCTTTGCCGAGTGCCCAACACTCGGCAAAGTTGGAACCGAAAAAATAGTAATTTTTACCCAAAAAATAATTTTTTAATCGGTTGAGGCCTCCACCGGCCAGCGCCCACTCACCTTCGGCATTTTTTGCATAAAATTCGCGTATACGCAGTCGGAGGGATTCGAACCCGAACCTCCTCTATTACTACACCACACTTTCACTTGTGTATGTATTTCGTTTTAGTTCCCAATATATTATACTAAACCGAGTGTAAATTGCTTGTTTGAAGCCCTAAACGAATTCAAATAAAAAAGTTGTAAACTACAAAGTTTCATAACTTTTCGAGATCTATACTTTTAGTTTAGGAAGTTTTTCCATCCGAAGTCGTTTACAAAATTTGAATTTTAAAATTTTGAAATTCAAATGCAGTTTTGCATGACAAGATGATTTCAAATCAAAAATTTGCCAACTACAATGTTTCATAACTTTTCGAGATCTACAAAGTTTATTTTGGTTGTTTTTCCATCCGAGGTCGTTTGAAAAGTTCAAATTTTAAAATTTTGAAATTCAAACACAGTTTTGCATGACAAGATGATTTCAAATTAAAAAGTTGCCAACTACAATGTTTCATAACTTTTCGAGATCTACAATGTTTATTTTGGTTGTTTTTCCATCCGAGGTCGTTTGAAAAATTCGAATTTTAAAATTTTGAAATTCAAACACAGTTTTGTATGACAAGATGATTTCAAATCAAAAAGTTGTCAATTACAAAGTTTCATAACTTTTCGAGATCTACAAAGTTTATATTGGTTGTTTGATCATCTGTTCATCCAACATGGTCGTTCTAACATTATTCAAAAATCTTATATATCTCTCTTGTAGTTTCGTAAACTACGAGAGAGATATGTTAGATTTGTGAACAAATTTATTTTTACTTTGTCATATGAAGAAAAGACCAAAACAAATATTGTACATTTTGATGAGTTATACAACTTTGTAGTTGAAAACTTTTTCATTTGAATTAATTTACTGCTTCAAAATGTGCTTTGAAATTTTCTTTACCGAGTGTAAAAAAAAACACTCAGCAAAGAGCTTCTTTACCGTTCTTTGCCGAGTATAAAAAAAAAACACTCGGCTTTACCAAGTGCCCGAAAAACAACACTCAACCAACCACTCGGCACTCGTCGAAGAGCCTGTCTCCGGTAGTGCTTTCTAAGCCCGCCGAAAATCAGCCCTCTCGAACCCCCGAATGCTTCGTTGGCGAGGAGAGCGGAGCGTGAAATCGTTCTCGATTTCAGGCACCTGTATTATAGGAGCTAGATATGCATGCAATACAAATCATGGACCTTTATTTCATTCGTTCGTTCATCCGTGTGAATTGCTACAGGTGCATAAAGAAAAGCTTAGCTAGCCCGCCATTTTTGGGCAGCCGGGCAGGTATACGGTGTTGACATACATATACATACATACATACAAGTAGGACGGATTTACAACGCTAGTTGTGGCAAATTTGAATAAAAAGAAGAAGCAAATTACACGCGAATTCGAATCCATTCAGTTGTGGAGGTGTACTTATATAGCAAGCTCATCGTCGATCAAGACGACGACGACGACGACGACGACAACGTACGTACGGTTCGTTCGTTCGTTATTGACAAATTCCAAACTTTCACGCGGATGCATGATGATATACGTACACGTGTACGTACTAGCAGGTCGGACTTGGATCGATCACGAGGAGGGCTGGTTCATCTGCTCCTGGAACTCGGGCAGGTGCTGCTCCTGGACGCACATGGTCATGATGCGTGCGCCGGGCTTGGGCGCAGGCGGCGCCCCGATGATGGCGACGGCCATGAACGGGTGGTAGGAGAAGGGCACGACGTGCGTGGGCGTGCCCCAGCCGTAGTCCACCTCGAGGAACCCGAGCCTCGTCCAGTCGGAGACGAAGAGGGAGTCGTAGGTGAAGGTGAGCTCGTAGGGGTCCCGATCAAACCCGCCCGCCGCCCACCGCGCGAAGTCGGCGGCGAGCCTGGCCTTGGCGTCCCGGACGGCGCGCACCACCTCCACCACGTCGGCCGCCGCCACCTCCCCGCTGGGCCGCGTCGCCTTCACGGTGTAGAAGCAGTTGCCGTAGAACCCGCTGGCCGGCGACGCCGTCGCCGGAAGCAGGTGGCGGGTGTTGGCGAAGAAGCAGACGTGGACGGGCGCGGCGGGGTCCGGGATCGCGAGCGCGCGGACGCGGGCCTGCCAGGTGCGCGCCACGCACACGTCGAACGCCGAGCAGCGCTGCCCCGTGGACTCCAGGTACCGCGACTTGACCTTGGCGATGTGGTCCGGGCTGAGGTCCGTCGTGAAGTACACCAGGTCGAGCAGGTCGAGGCGCGGCGGCGGCGCCGGCATCTTGGGCGGGTCCGGGATCACGTCGCGCGCCCAGATGGGGGAGATGCGGGGTTTGGTGATGGCGGCGCCGCCACGGGCGTAGTCCGCCACCGCGTTGATGAACTGCCCGGCGCCTAGCCCGTCGGCGATGGTGTGGACGGAGATGAGACCCACCACGAAGCCGCCGCACGTGAACTCCGTCACCTGCGGTGATGCATCCACGTACGTGTGCATGATGATGCGTATAGTAGGTTGTTATTAGTAGTCCATTTCCAATAACGTCATGAGTGAGATAAGCTAATAATATGCAAAATATATACTAGTAACTTGATAAGGTTAACAATGATTAAGGTGAGATGAACTAGTAGAGTTAGTTAGCCACACCATATGTAGGAGTAATGTCGTAGTAAGTACAGGATGATGAAGCAATGCAAACGACAACGTGTGAATCACGTAAAGGAGGGGAATATCTGATGATTGATCGATGGGAGGTTAAAATTTGGTAGCAAGAGATAAGGTGAGTCGACGTGGCCGCTGTCACTCGACGAGAGTGAAAGCTACGTGAGCGATGGAGGCGCTTGACCTGCATGCCCAAACACTCCATACAGATGTTAGTACCGCAGAGCCTTTTCTTTTTGAGACGCTAACATCTTACCAACCACGATGAGTTAAGTAGTAGATCATCAGATGGACTGCACCACTAGATTTACTGAAAAAGTAGTGGATCGGATGCACTGCTGCACCACTAGATTTACGAAGATTAATTTACCTATTTTCCCAGCTTTTTCTGGACACTGAAGATTCATGCACTTTTCATGCATGATGAGCCATATCTTAGATCTGTACTATATAAGACTAGTCATATCTCGGTGGCGGTCGCCATTTGTCACCGGAGCTAGCGCATGTAGCTAATGTATCTCATAGAAATGGTCTAATGCGTAGTACTACGTACAAAATTACCAAGCTAGCTAGCCATTATATATATATATATATATATATGGAAATTATTTTCTACTTCAAGGGAGTAGTTACTCCTATGTGTATATCTCTAGATTTATGGCGTATATGGCCCGACGAAATGTAGGTAGATATAGTATATCATCATACTAGACCATCTAGAGTACTATATATGACAAGCATGTATGTATGCTTAGAGTATATGATTATACTTATTTTATATGCTACTATCATAGTATTATATAATATATTAAAAAATATATGCTCTTTTGAATTTTTTTTTTCCACATAGTAAAGATCTGGAGTATCTTAATATTAGTATGTCAACATACTCAAACTGATAAATGAATATGTACACACATACGTAACATGATTTATTGATCATGAGAGTAACTACTCTTGGGAGTATATAAAATGCACCATATATATATATATATATATATATATATAATCTCCAGGTTGGTTGTTGAATGATGGAGTACATCGATCACACAGTGATGGCCCATGCTGAAACTAATCATGCATATGATTAATATATAATCCAACTTGAGCCGACAAAAGATATGTGTGAGGATTATATATATAGGCGCGTGCGTGCTCTTCGGCCGGCTGGCCGGCTTGGAGCTTGTAGTGGTTAGTTAGCTAGCCTAATATATACATGCATACTGAGAAAAGCTAGCTGCCATTAGCATAAATCCTTTTGCGATCACTTGCTTGTTATTTGTGGCGGCCGGCTGCAGTGATGAGTATTAGTATTTTGGCAATGTCCAAATAAAACGTCGTCATCACTTGTTACTTTTGGCTGTGCGTGCAGTGAGTGAGTGTGTGTGTGTGTGTGTATTACTAGTACTAGTATATTTGGCAACGGTACTACCGGTCCCTTACTGTTGCCTAACTTTTCCTTTATTTGGCCTAATATAATTGTTCATTATATATAACACATCACACGGAAAAAGAAGTTAAATTAGGAAGCGTGGCAACAACAGCGGGCGCCACCAGTGTCAGTGTCCCTTGGTGGTAAGCAGCAGCAGCAGCAGCGTTTTTTGTTGTACCATCTGCTTTGCTGGTAATCAATCCCTAGCTAGAGGTTAATAACGACCTTACAACAACCTTCAGATAGCTACGTAAACCAACATACATCCATACATACATAGTACAACAAGACTGGAGAAATGGACATGAAGTAAACATTACGTATGGCACATGTCATCTCCGGTCCACTTGATGCTGATTATAGCGTAGGAGTACTATTTATTTATCTTTTCCGACCGGATTACTAGCTAGTTTAGAAATGGATATGGATAGGTAGCTAGCTAGCTCGATGTCACGCATGCATCATGCACTGTAGACTGTAGTGTAGTGGTGGTACTGGTAGGCAGGTAGGTATGTATGTAGGCGCACTCCATCCTGTCCTGATGGAACTTATTTTATTCTGAGATTGAGATTGTGTGGCTCCAAACTAAACGAAACAAGTGTGTACTACATAAATTACTATGCAAGATGATATGGGTTCAAAGCTGGCCGGCCGGCTAGTAGGAGATGCGAATCTCGATGCTCCGGAGCGTCTTGCTTGACCGATCATTTCTTTTTTCTTTTGCGAGATCTTCGTTCACCGATCTTCTCTTTAGTCATTAAAATAAAACAAATATTACACTAATTAATATGCCCCGTCTTAGAGCGAGCATATATCAGTGGAGATCTGATCCGATCCTTTAGAGGCAAACATGCATACATGCATGTTGCTTGTTCTTTACTTGCATTTACATTCATAGTGCGTATATATATTCGGTATCAGTAGTTGGTTGGCGGTCACTGTTGGCCTGTTGTACATGCGTCGTCGTACATACGTCTTGGTGCTGCTAGCTCATCATCATCGTCATCACATCAGCATCATTCAGTCCGCGCCTCACCTACCCAACCCATGGAAAGGACGAAAAGCTCGCTCGCTAGCGACACGTGTTACGTACTAGTACGTTAGCCCCTCTCTCCCTCACTAGGCCTCACCCACTGTTAACTACACCACTTATTTGCTTAATTAATTGTGCGCGGCGACGACACTGCACGTAGCCATCGCAAACTAATTAATTAAAAAGCAGAGACATATATATGGTTGACTAGTCATACGTCAAGGTTTTGCATGTTGCTAGCTAGTTACTCCGTAAGTGCGAAATTGTTTAGACAAATCATATATGTTTCGTGGTCGAATGACGCGCGCTGGTACCGTTTCAACCGTGCCGTACATTTTTCAACCACAATCCCTATATATCATATCTTTGAGACTTAACAGTAATATTATTATTATTATTATGCATGCATGGCGCCAAAGTTTCTTAGCTTCAAAATAAGGGTTCTCTCTCTTTTCCTTGACTCTAACTTTTCCTGTGTGATTCGCTACTTAACTTTCTTTTCACTAGGTTACTAATAATCATGCTTCTCATTATCACTAATTCAGCTTACTATACAATGCTTTTTTTTTTGCATTCTAGTACATGCAAGACAAAAAAATGCATCATGAAACTACTACTCCTAGCTAGCTAGGTAGGCCTAGCTAGGCATGTTAACTTTTTACTACTGCTTGATTCATGCATGCATGGAGTCTAGAGATGTATATAGTGCAGTGATCACAACACACACATATACATACCTGCATCATGAGCGGCATGTCGAGCGGGTTGACGTCGGGCGCGGGCTCCGGCAGCAGCTCCTCCTTGGGAATCAGCATGGGGTGGTCCAGGTGCCGGACCTCCTCCAGGGAGCACGCCGCGGCGGCCTCCACGAACCAGGCGCCCTCGCCGGTGCACGCCACCCGGACCTCCCCGTCCTCCGCCTCCACGAACCGCCCCGCGAACGGGTAGTAGTCCACCAGCGCCTTCCCCAGCGCCTCCCGCAGCGCCTTCGCCTGCGGCGCCTTGGCCGCCGCTGGCTTGTTGTTGCCGGCGAACACGTGCAGCGACCGCACCAGGTGGCGCAGTCCCGCCACGCGGTCGATCACCGACAGGCGCAGCGTCTCCCGCGGCGTCGCCGACGACGGCGGCACCAGCGACCTGCTCGTCCTCGTCACCGGGAACCCGGCGGTGTCATCGATGGTGCCCATGCTTAGCTTAGCTAGCTAGCACCTTGCTTCTTCTTTTTTTCCTTTTTGGAGTGTGTGTGTAGTGATTAAGCTGCTAGCACCTAGTGTGTGTGTGCGCCCGCGCGCTCATGTATGAAATGTGTTTGAGAGATGGCACAAGTATATATAGGCCCAACCCAACCCGACCCAAGAGGGACGTCTAATGGCCACAAATGACAGTAATATATATATATATATATATATATACCGTTAATTTACGATAATTACTATGTTAATTTATGAGATTATAGTAACTCTTTACCAAGTGGTTTATTATAATATTATGGTATATATCCCCGTGTGTTATACTAACCTAACTATCATAAATATGTATTGACATTATCGTAAATTAGTATATAATATTATCGTAAATGGAGGTGGCTACAAATAACTTATTTTATAGCTACTACTGCCGGGCTGTTTCGTTTACCTGATGGGAGTAGTCCGGATCAGAGTGACTCCGGCCGGACGAGGTGGCCCATCGGTTTGGTGACGGACGACGAGCTGAGTTCATTACGGCCCAGCTCGGTTTACCTTAAATTTAATTTGTTCGGTTTTTTAGTAGAAACAGTATTTTTCTCTTATAACATTTTAATTATAACAGTATTTTTTAGTCAATTTTAGTCAAGTTTTAGCAAACCAAACGAGCCTACGTGCCTCAGTCCAAACGACTCCGTAGGGTCGGACGTAGGTTCGGATGGCTCCGGAATGGGTCCGTCATGCAGTCCAAACACGCTAGACATTCTTAAAACCAAACGTGCCCTGCCAGGTCATCATCCGGACCTGCGGCTAGGAATGATTCCACGCCGGGTGCGTTTAAACAAATTCATAACCACATTAGCGTGTCCGACCAGTCTCGATCATGTCAACAACCGGAAGACAATTGGTTATTACAAGAAATAAACGGTTGTTAGCTTTCCCTTTATCGCCCCGTTCGCTTGTCTGAAAAAAGAAGCCAAAAACTGTAGCGATCGGTTATGTGAAAGAGTAATACTGTAGCAGCTGGAAGATGCACTGTAGCAATGTGAGGAGAAGCAGCCGGACCAGCCGGCTGGTCTGAAATTTTCAGACCAGCCGAACGCCGCCATCGTTTCCTTTTAATTATTTTCCTGTACCCTTCTAACGTAGTACTCCAACTAACCCCTCCTCATCAACCTACCCTTCTAACGTAGTGCTCCAACTAACCCCTCATCAACCTGTTAAATTTGTCTGAAACAATAACTTGCCTATTTATTTGCATAATTGGACACAAATTGCATGAAAAACCCAGCATGTGGCCAGAGGATGTCGTCCGCGTGCGGCAAACATACAGTAGCTTTGACTTCTCATCAATCATGCAAGACAAAATCTTATGGTGTGGTAGCAACATCACATTGACACTTGGAAATTGAGTCACGGAAGAGGAGGAGGAGGCTGCTGTTAAGTTTCTCTAACATGTGTGCGTGCCCCCCATTTCGCGCGACTTGGTCTAACTTGTGATGAGTTGCAGGGACCTCCTCTCCAAAGAAAAATCGTCGTTACATGTAGCATATTTATGTTACAACATGTTAAACTTCAAAAGTTTCACAAAAATACTAAGATACCATTCCTAGAGGTGGTGGCTCCTCTGGAAAAACGTTTCATATTAGAATCAAAAGAAAACGTTATCCTTTTTCTATTGAAGCAACTCTTGCCTGTGATGGTAAGTAAAATTAAAGGAAATGCATGGGGAGATTCAACGGTTCGAATGTTTGAGAACGTGTGCGCAAAAAAAATCGCACGACTGCAATGGTCGCCTAGTGGGGTTAGCTCCGATGTAAAAAGAATTCTCATTTTGTATGATTGCTTTTAAATGGATTTTCAGATGTTGTCGGCTTAGACGCCTCTTGAAATATATACCCGGAGGCGGTTTCTTGGTCGACTGTGAAAATGACCTAAGGAACTATCTACGGAGATGCCATTATAGGCACCTTTAGAAATCATTTTTGTAGTAATGTATGTTAGCTATACAAAGTTGTAGAGTTCGACGACATATAAAACTTTTTTGTAGTTGATGAAGTTTTTATTTGAGATCGTTTAGGGCCTGAAAGGATCAAGATGCCCGAGAGGAGGGTGAATTAGGCTAATTCTATTTTTTGCAAATAATTAAGCCCTACACTTAGCCCATTTCACCCCTTGTGTCTAGAATGTGTTTATATTATTCTGCCGTACAAAGTTTGCATCCTAGGTTCCAATCCTACTCTAGCATGGCAATTCTAGGAATGTAAAGACATGAAATGAATTGCTCAAATGTAAATGCTCAAAATAAAGAGAGGGAAAGGAACGCGGGGATGTTTTCCCGAGGTATCGGAGAGTCGCCACTCCCCACTAGTTCTCGTTGGAGCACCCGCACAAGGGTGTAGCTCCCCCTTGATCTACGCAAGGATTAAGTGCTCTCTACGGGCTGATTCTTTGACACTCCGTCATGGTGAATCGCTCACAACCGCTCACAACATGACTTGGGTCATCCACAAGCTCTGCCGGATGATCATCAACCTCTCAACCACTACCGAGCCATTTAGGTGATGTCGATCACCAAGAGTAACAAGCACAAACTCTCACTTGACCAAGACAAACCTAATGAGAAAGGTGGATGTACACTTGTTACTCCCTATGTACTAGTGAGGTCCTTAATCTTGGATTATCAACTCTCAATCACCACGCTAGGCTCTTACTCTCCCTTGCACTCTAAAGACGTTTCACAGCTGAATAATTGGGCAAGAGACCTCCCATGAACGAGTGGGATAAGTATTTATACCTCCTCATTCAAAACATAACGGTTGGAGGCCACCTAAGCAAGTTTCGGGGTGACCGAACACGCCGGTCAGGGTGACAGGACGCTCTGGTCAGTAGTACACGTCACTGTGTCAGATAGAGCCATTAGCTCTGACCGGACTCTGACCTGCGTCCAGTCATCACCCACTGGACGCATCCGGTCAGCAAAATACCCCTATGAATGCTCTCTGATGTTGATTGGACGCAGGCACTCTAGCGTCCAGTCATGTACTGTTTAGCGTTCGGTCAGTACATGATTGTAGCTACTAATCAAATGAATTGACTGGACTCATCACGCTGCGTTCGGTCACAACCAAACCAGCGTTCGGTCAGTCATGTGACCCTCCATTCACTTTCAATTCGAAATCCTTCAAGAATGAAGTTGACTTCTATCGATCTTAGGGCTATTCCTGAGCTACCTAGTGCTAAGTTTAACATGTGTGCACCACACCTAATCCATTAGACTCACTTAGGTCAAGTTACTAGTCCATACCCCCCTTAATAGTACGGACAAAGAAAAAACAAAGTCCTAAACTACTCTAAGTGTCTCCCTAACGCCAAACGACACTTAGAACTAGTCCGTCCTCAACCTTATCATCCATTCTTTGAAAACCAAAACGATTTCCATCGACAGAGGCATGACAACCATGATTGCCCAATCAATTTCTATTTCCATGACCTAACTCAAATTGCCTCTACAAAACATACGTTAGTCATAATAATCTCATGTCATCATTAATCACCAAAACCCAACTTAGGGCCTAGATGCTTTCAGGGTCCAAATATACGTTTATGTTATCAAATTTTGAATTTTTCAAACACCCAACACCCATATACCATTTTGGGGCTAGAATATTCATTACAAGATTCATAAAAGCTAACACAAAATGATAATATTCTATACTTGATCACAAGTGATAGTGTAGCATGGTGGTAGTGAGGCCTACGCGAGACAAGAGCTCATGGGATCTAATCATAGAAACTGCACACAACGTATTTCGCATAAAAAATCACATGCCTTGTGCCTTGTGCCTTGTGGGGTTGTCCCAAAATTTAAAAAAATACTATATTTTTAGGCTAATTTATAATTTATAGAAATGATTTTTGAGCTGGCCACATTACTGATTGCCTCTAGATATCGATTTCTAGGGGGGGTTACAAACATTGCCATGAAATCAATTTGTAGGGGCGGTTGCATACCCACCCCTATAAGTGGATGATTTTTAGAGACAAAAAACTAATTTTGATCGCCTCTTCAAATGATTGTCCTTGTGTAAAGGCATCATTTTGTTATTGGCCTCTGAGAGGAGTGATAGACACGATATATCAGAAGTGATATCTAGTCAGATCATATTTTTATCGAGCAATCCGATAACATTTGAGCTCCGAAGAAGCAAAAACAAGTTAATATGTAAAAAAACTATGTATGCAAGTGTGGACCATCTGACTGAACGATACAAGGTGCATGCAGAGCAAACGTAGTCCTTTTTGAAACTAGGCCAATCTAGCTAGTCAACATAGATGGCCGTGTCACTTTATAGATGTGTCTGTCCATTAAGGTCAACTTAGAATGCGGTTCTTCAATCTAATAGAACTAAAACTAACAAATCGTTTAAATTTGAAAATTGGTGGATTTTTTAGCAGGCCTCAAAGCAGAGTTGGCAATGTTCTTCTAAATGCCCTTTCCACCAAAAGACTAGATACTTAGCCATCAACCTCAAAACCAGGAGAAAAAACAAACCTAAGCTCACAGACTAGCTCGAAACCTTTGAAAAACACAACTACAACAACAAATCAGACCACCACATCGCTAGAATCAATCCTTACAAAAAGAGATTACGCACCAACACCACCACCTCATCCTTACCAAAAAAGATACCTACAATAGGTGGAGATACAAGAAAGTTTGGGCAACCAAAGAAGACAGGAACACCACCTTCTTCCTACAATCTATTCTTAAAAGAATCAGAAGGAACAAAATCATACACCTCATTAACCTCGATGGCTCCATGTCAACAACACCTCAATAGCTTGAGGCTACACTCAATGACTACATCAAATCTATTTTCACCTCCCAATGCAGCTCAACAACCACCCCCAAGCACTGCAACAAACTCACATGACCAAGTATCTGAAACTAACAATTTCACTCACTCTACACCAGACCCTCAAGAGATTCACTCAATAGT